TTCATAAGCCCAAAATGGAATGAATTATCTCCATTAACTTCATCATGCTCACTTAATTACATGCTTGTTATTGTATTTACACCTTGTTAGATACCGCTGAAGCTGATCCAGTGGCTGGCCGGGAATTGGAAGCGTCTGTCATGGGGCAGTTGGAGCGCGTTTTGTAGGAAATGCTATTTATTTTAAATGCTCCACCTGCTGGGAGCCGAGGTTAGTCAGCAGCACTGAGATGAATTGGGAAACGGGGTGTAAAAAGAAATAATGTGCTTCTGACAGGCTCCGTGGCTTTTAAGTTGCTCTCATTCAGCCACTTCACAAAAAATTATTTTATTCCATCTCTCAGTGATGATGACATGATTGCTTTTGGGTAATCATTTACCATTCTGATTTTATTTTTTGAAGTAAATTGTCTGAAGTAATAGGTTCTTGGAATTACAGCGTGCCTTGCTTTTTGCTTAGAACTTTATTTAAGCTTGTCTTCCAGCATTTAACCCGAGTCCCCTCTTTCGTTTGATCTTCTAACTTTATTTATACAACAGTGCTTAATGATCCTGCACAATGTGTTTTTTTTCCCCTTTACAACCCCCCCACCCAAAAAAAATTCTGTCCAGTATGGTTGACAGTACTTTTTATAACCTCAGCAAGGGGGCTGCATGGGCAATTTTCTTCCGACATGACAAATACAAACACCCAAAACCCAACCCTGATAGAATTACTCCATCCAGTTGAAAGGAAATTTTTGATCTCTTTCAAGGTGACTCTTTTGCCACTGAAACATGGGAAGGGGCATGACTCTTACCTTCTATTCTTGTCTGTAGAAGTGGCATTTTTTACATTGCTTTACCCTGTCTATTCCCTTCTGGCATCGCCCTCTTCCCCAAACTTCCACTGACCAGCCCTTCCTGGTAGTTGGGCCCTGTGGCACCTCCATTTGCTTTGAATGTGACGGGTCACCGTTCACCACCACTAGGCTGCAGCAAGCCTGTGTTTATTGAACATGAACCAGACCAATGGTGGAGAGAATTATAATCACACGTCTAAATACTTGTCAGATCAGCCTACAGCCTAGTAGAGCACTTGAGCTAAACCATGGATATTTTATTCTCCTTGAAGGCTGTATTTTGGTATCAACAAAAAAGAAGAAAAAAGAAAGAAAACTGAAGATAATTATTTCTAAGTAGGAATGGAACTGGATAGTGGACTAACAGACTCTTCAAGCCTTCAGAAATATTTTAGCATCTAAGATGTGATTTAATGGGTGAGAATGGTCCTCTAGGCACTGGCTGATCAATAAACACATTGCTCACTGTGTGTGCCTGGCACTGTGCCTTGTAAATTTCTTTTTCTAAGTAAGAATTGACTCAAAGATGATTTCTTTTTATTTCTTACTTTGAGAAATGTTTATATACTTGCCATTTGATTCAGGGCCCCAAATGTCTTTGTCTTTAAAATATGGATGTCACTTGAGATCTTTCAGGTACTGTGCATAGCCAGAGGCTCAGTTCTACTGATCGACATTCAGGAGAAATGCAGGCCAGAGGCTCCAGCAGCTCTCTGTAGGTCAGACGGCTCTACGTGTAGAGTGTAGAGGGGTGCAGTTTTCTTTCAAATTTTTCTAAGGCTTCCTGCATTCCACCCCTTACTGCAAAGCTCACGTTGCATTGAGGGAGGGAGGCTATGGATTGGAAAAGGTGGGAGAGCTGAGAACAGTATGGTGGGAAGCCATGCAATTAAAAAACTGACTGAAATTATTACCTGATTTCATAATTGACAGAATATTTAATTCAGATATAGTAAATTGACACACCTCTACACAGAGACAATTATGACTGACTGTATAACACCTGACAGAATCAATTATAACTGACTGTTGTTTGATACCTTTGCACGGAAATAAATGAAACAGACATTCAGAACAGAGACGGCTGCTGCCTGTGTGCCTAAGCCTGCCTTAATTAAAATAAAATAACCAGTAGGCGATGTTAAAATGTCTTTGCCTCGTGGTTTCTAGTTCAGTGTGTTTCTTTAGTCCAAAAAGGGTTTTATAAAGAGTAAAGCTGAAAAGAGATTTTTGGTTTACTGACATGGAGCTAAAATATGTGAAGTAGAGATAGTTTCCTTAGATGGGATAATACTCCATTATTTTAATAGAGCTAGCATTTTATTTGATCAGTTGACTTTTGTATAAAAGATTTAAGAAAGATCAACCTGCAGATGACGGTCTAGTTCATCCCATATAGGAAAAAATGGAACTTTCATTATTTTGAGGTTTTAGATTCTAATCAGTAGAAATCAACTTTTAAATAAGCAGTTCATTTTGTCATCTGATAAAATACTTTGTGTATCATTAATATCTAGGCTACCTTTTTTTTTTTTTCCATCATTTTCATAGGTGTTAGGGACAGAAGACTTTTGGTAATTAGTATATAACCACAAGGAATCAGAGTAAATAAGCTTTACATACACGTTCCTCAAACGTTATTCGCAAGAAAAGTTTAAATAGGAGATGAGCTTTGCTGGTGTATTAAGATGAGCGATTCCTGGGTGATACTTTAAGCCATTAGAGTGTATTTCAGTGACGCACTTGTGTGTAGGAAGAGCATTTCCTCCCCGATCTCGACGAAGTTTGGCTTTGTGGTGCTGGTGGCGGAGACAGCAGTAAGCAGGGCCAGTGGCATCTCTGGACAGGGATGAGATGGCTGTAGATCTTCTGTCTCTTGCCCGATGGCCTGTTGGAATCTCGTAACAGTTGTCGGGTGCCTGACCTGCAGCACCTGAGGTGATGGCGTCATTACTGGTAGGCTGACTCTCAAAACCAAAGCAGGGGAAGAAATCTGGGTTTTACTGGCCACATTAACTGGCTTCCACTATTTAACACCTGTATTTTCCCCTGAATTCTAAAGTGGTGGGTGTAGTATTGACAGAAACAGGGTAACAGTTTAATGTGAAGCCTAACGTGGGTGGCCCAGGTGCCTAGAGGAGGAGGAGAAAAACCAGGAAAAAGGGTAAGTCCTTCCCCCTCAGCCCCTGCCCCTGTCGCGGCTTGTGGCAGCTAGTCCAGTTCTGTTTCCTAGAAGACCTTCCATATGTTATTGATTAAATTCTCATCGGGGAAGCAAGTGGGAGCTTTTATCTGCATCTCTAACTGGCATGGAATGGTGCCTTGGCTGTATTGACTGGCTATGGGATATGCTGGTGGTCACAGTTGTCTTTTACGAGGAAGAGCACCGAGTGATGGTGGTTGTCATTCTAGCTCTGCTGTGTGGCAGCATAAATAGTCCCCTTTCTAACCAACCTGGTGGGAAAAGTCAATATCCCATCAGCAGAGGAGGTAAACACATCAGGAGCTGTGTCCTCTCTTTTCCTCCCCTGCTCCGTATGACTGCAGCTCTTTAAATGTGCTCTCCCCAGTCATCAGATGCATTTGTGTCATTCACATGCACGGGGTTGCTGGCCTGCTGCTCTGGCCTGCAGGGAGGCAGCCGACACTGGTTGGGGCCATTGTTGTATATTCCCAGACTCGGATAATTAGAACTTCATATTGTCTTTCTATTGCGGTCCCCCTCTCTTTTTCACCCCCTTTTGGGCATTTGTATTCTCTATAAAACCTGTGGTGGTTCTTTAAAGGACAATTCATATAATTCAGAAAAGGTTGTTGAGAAGGAATGTGAATGTATAGCCAAGAAACAAAAATCTGGAGTCTGAGTTTTCGTTTTCCAGGTGTTTTGTGGACTTGAGTGTTGCTGCTGTTGGAGGTTTGCTTTCTGTGAGTGGTGCGCCCTCCCCTCTGTTTCCTTCCTGGCTGGTTCCTGTCGGGAGGTGCTGGACAGCCTTGCTGCTCCCAGGCCCTTTGGCACAGGGCAGCATCTTGTGGGGACAGAGGCCTCACCTCAGGATCAGCTGATGTCTGAGGCCTGCACATGTCTATGTGGGAGTAGAGATACAGTGGCAGGGGAGTGGGCAGAAGTGAGCCTCTCCTCAGGTGCAGGCTGGGGGTTCTGGCTACCTGGGTTTGCTTGTCTACAACCCTGATGACCCACTGTGTAACCTTGGGTAAGTGACGTAACCTCCCAGTTTCCTCAGCCATCAAATGGGGATTAGGAAAAAAAAAAAAAAAAAGAAAGAAACAGGCAGTCTCTCCAAACACCTTACCGGGTTCCTGAACAAACACGGTGTCATCCCCCAGGTGAACACCCTCTTCACCCAAAAGATCAGACCTGAGCATCACAGCCCCACTGCTCCTTTAAAAGAACACCATGTGGAAGTAGCAGGCTCTGGGAAGGGAAAGGAGGGATCTTTCCTCTGGCTGGTAGCACCCTGCTCACAGGGGCAAGGCCAGGGATGACCGGGTTGAAGGAGCAGGAGAGCAGGGCAGAAGCACTGCATACCCTGAGCTCGCACAGTGTGGACAAAGAAGAGCAAAGAAAATTTGGCTGTGGACAGACAGGTGCTCTCGGGCCGCTCACCCCTGGCCTCTTTCAGCGGGGGAGGTTTTGTTTAGCAGAGGGACATGGGCCGGAGGGACCAGAGGAAGCTGCCTAGGAGCAGCTGATCTGGGAAGTTGTGGCTGGAAGGCACCAGAGGCCATACCTTTGAGACTAGGTATTTCCTGCCACATCCAGACTTCACAAGCAGTTGCATGCATGTGCTCGAAGCGCCCGTGCAAGGGGCGTCTGTGAGTGGAGCTCACCTTGTCTGCTGCACATGAGCGTGCACCTGCAGTTCACATCAGTAGAGGGTGGCCCCATGCCGCAGTGTGCTGAGTCAGCTAGGTGCTGAGAGGCAGACGGGCAGGGGAAAGGAAGAAAGGCTTTCACAGAGGAATGGTGGGTGGGGGCTGCATCGCACTGGCCCCAGGGGTAGAACCGAGATAGGATCGGGGGAGCTACAAACAGAATCGCATCCCTTTCTCTGGTGGAATACTGAATGGTCTTTAAAGAAACTACCTGAGGTTTCTAATCTCTTTCTTTCTGTCTCTCTCTTTTTTTTTTTTTTTTTAGATAAATTGAAGAAGCAATTTTTTACCCCCAAAGTTATGCAGGAGTACAGAAAACTCAAGAACACAGCAGAGCAGTTCTTGTCCCGAAGTGGCTACTCTGAAGTGAACCTGAGCAAACTCTTCGCTGGTTGTGCTGTGAAGTCCTAAGGGAATCCCAGGAGTAACCAAGGAGGGGTAGTTGAAAAGTCCCAGCTTCCTCTGTGCCTCTGCTCTGGCCCTAACTGCTCCTCCAGCATGTTTCTCCCTTGGGACTGTGTCTCATATGTGTGTGTGAATGTAGATCAGGAAGGGGAACTGCAAAAATGTTTAGTCTAGTGTTCCTAAGTATCCTAGAAGCTCCTGTCTTCATATGAAGATATACTGCTTTAAAACACAATTCCAGAGCCCCTCCGCAAGCACCTGAAGACCCGGTTTGCTACTTGGTTTGCTACTTGGATTGAGCGTAGCTGGAATAGAAGTGACCCCAGGCTTTGCCCCAGGGCCTTTAGCCTAGGTCCCCTCCCCAGAAAGAGAGGTTCTCAGAGCCTGACTGAAGAGCTGATGTTTTGCCTTTTCAGGTGCCAAGTAAAATCAGTCTAAATCTAAATGCTTCTCCAGCCATCCAGGAGTGGCTGTCCTTTTCAGTCTGGTTTTTTTTTTTGGTT